GGATATATGATCATATATGTATGCCAATCTTCCACTTAGAGACGGAAGTGGGCATCGGCACGAAGACCGGAAATGTTCGCATCGTAATGTGGCTGTAGCGAAGGGTCGAACGAGGGGCCAGATTGAGGCCCTATTAAGGCTCATAATGTTCGAACGAAGTGTGGCTGTAGCGAAGGGTCGAACGAGGGGCCAGATTGAGTCCCTGTTAAGCAACTCTGATGCATCATATCCCCATGATCCCATCACATTGTCTCCTGGCAAAGAGCGCATCGGAATGCGAATTCTGAGGATGCTCACACTAAGCCGTCGAAGTCGCAAAATCACGAAACGAAGGCACAGATCCGTGTCGCTGTTTAGGAAGTGATGTGACAGACTGCTCATGTCGGGATTTTGTTATTTGAGGGCCAGGTGTGTGAATTCGCACCCTCAATGTGAAAAAACAAAAATTAGTGAGCCATTGATACCTTAAATGGAGGTCAACGCCAAGATTTATGCCGCAGTCTCCGTTTCAGTTTTTAAACCTGTTCACACGAACATCCCTCGAATAGAACACATCCCCCCCAGACCATCTACCTAGCTTGTATACATTCACGGTTGTCCTCGCTTTGGCTCACCATTTGCGTAATCGTACCGATGCGCATTTTCAGACTTGAGCAGCAACAGCGAAGTACAACATATTTGTCCTTGAAAACCAAGAAAAAGAGAAACTGCTTTGTGCTATCGGCACCTGACAGTCGCAAGGGTGTTGCGTATTTGACTTTTTGCCGACTATGGATAGCCCCCTTAGCGGAGAGGAGTGTATAGGAGTATAGACATCCTGCGTCCCTCCATGTGACCCTGATCGATCCATTTGAGTGTCATCAAATTGTCAATATAACGCCGTTGAGAGTCTTCATGACACTTTTCTTGGAGTGTTGTTGCCGCTGCGTTCCCTCTCACGCACGGCTTGCGTCAATCCAGGCAGTTGCTGCGGTTGCCCGCATGCATGATCGTAGTCCCGATCGCCCCTTGGACCCGCCCCTGGGGCTAGGTCCCACTTGCACGGAATACGAGATTCTGGCTGGTCTATCGGGCCAACTCTATGCAGCAAGTACCCGACGACATTGCAGAAAGCAGGGTCGAAAATTCTCAAAATTGCAGCAGTGGATGGGTGCAACACTTGCTGCAGAAAAAAGAAAAGAAAAAAAAGCAGTTGCGTTGATCGGGCGACGGCCTTGAGATGATACCATTCGAACTGACCCGCTCATCCAGGGATTCGAACTCACGTCTGCAAATGAACTGTTCATGGGTGTACGTACTGAGGGCAGAGTACCAGTTGGACCTTCTTACTTTGATCTAGACGGAAATGGGGCCAGATCCATCCAGGTCCGGGCCGTAATGACCGTCAGATGCATTCGGAAGAGTGTTAGTCTGAGTGCGCCCTGAGCTATGGGCCAATCGGTACTGTTTTGCATTTTTTGCAAAACTCACAAGCGACCAGAATGGTAAAAATTGGACAAGTTTCAGCAGACTCAAATTTTATTGTGCTGCAATGACTTGCACAGATTGCAGAGATTTGTGCGTTTTTCTGTGAACATTCTGTCAGTCTTTTTTCCATTTTTTTCTCTGAGACGACTGCCCCGGACTGTGCTGGACTATTTGGAATTGCTGCAGAAATAACAGGACACTGCAGCTGCCCGTGGAGAGCAGTTGCCAATTGCAAAAAATAGGTACTATACCCTAAACCCGTACACGTCCAGCCGGTTCTACCTACAGTTTGCAAAAACGGTAAGTACAGGTACAAGTTGTTTTCCCGTGGGAAATGTGTAAATGAGAAAACTAGGGCGCTGTCATGGTTTGAGTTTCTAAATACATTTCAAATTCAAATTGCCGTTTTGGAGTCCAGTCCCCTCTGAGGTCTACAATGCAGGCCAAAGTCCTCCTTGCAGACAAGTTGCAGGGGGGAGTTTTTAACTGCAGTCTAGTCATCAACGTCGGAGGGCCAGGACGTTTTCCCAAAAAGAAAAGAAGAAACGAGAAGAAAAAAAGAAAAGATTGTGGTGCTGTATCTGTCCATGTTCTAGAGGAAGATTCACTCTCGGTTTTGCACATTTCGAGAGTAGTGGAGGGATGGGGCCTTCACATTGCTAGCGCCTCCCTCCACTACTCTCGAAATGTGCGAAACGAGAGTGAATTTTCCGCTAGAACATGGAAAGATACAGCGCCGTGATTTGTCTTTTGTGCATGTCAGAGTAGTGGAGCAAGGCCCTCTGGTTTCGTTTTTTTTTTTTTTTCTTTTAAATATCTCTGCCCCCTGGCTGGGCCACGGCCCAGACGCCTCGGCCATCTCCGAGATTAAAAACAAACAAACTGGCCACATAACAAACAAACTGGCCACATGCCCGACTGGACTGCAGTTGCAAACTCCGCCTTGCGACTTTTCTGCATGTCAAAGTTTCGACTGCATTTCTAACTCGGGACCGTACTGGACTCCAAAAAAAAAGGCAGGAAATAAAAGAAAAAAGAAAAAAAAAAGGCAGTAATATGCTTTTACAAAATGCTTCCGTTACTGCGGGCTGCGAGGATCTGGGTCCTGGGCAGGCCTAAGGGGCCCCTGTTGCAAATGTGCCCTCCGTAAGTGAAGGCAGGCCTAACAATTCACGAGAGGCCCTCAGCTGCCAATTTCGTATTTGGGGTCCAGGCAGGTGCTACGCGCCAGTTGGTTGAAGGAAACACAGGCCGAACAGCAGAGACATTCCACTGCCTTCCGAACCTTTCCAAAAGTGCAGGCCCTGGGCGAGAATGGCAGCCTCATACACAGACAGTTGGGAGGCCCAACCGAACGAGGCCCAGCCACCCAGTAGCTGCAACAGAGGCGCAGCGCCTACCGGAAGCTTCTGGGCCGAGGCCCAGGCTAGCCAGGCTACGAAAGCAGGCAGGCTCTTTCCACATAGGAAAGAGCTCGCCGCCTGGAGCCTCATTCAGCACTTGCATGCTGGCGGCAGCGCTGCTGGAGTGGAAGCTCGTGGGCTGCTGCTGGCGCTGAGAGGCAAGGTGTTAGTGTGTGCGGTCATGCAGGGAGAAGGGCGATCCTGAGGGCAGGGCCATAGCCCAGCCTCCACAGCTGGATGGGCTTGGACTACAGTGAGGCGCAGGGGTGGTCTTCGGGAGTACAGAGGGAATACGTGGGAGTAAGTCAGGGGAGTGAGAGAAGGATGATGATGATGATGATGATGTGAGGGCACATACCTGGTATTGGCGATGGTCTGCATTGGGCGACATCTTCAAGTACTTCGTGGGCTGCTGATGTCAATAGTTGCATTGTCAATTCGTAGGCAGACTATAGGTGTGTAGGAAGTAGGCTGGGCGCCGAGCGCCAAGAAGGGAGCTAGGGCCTGGACACTCATGTTGGTGGTGGCGAGATCAAGCTCTCATTGGCATTGGTTTTCAGTGTTACGATTCTTCATTGGTGTTATATTGGACCATGTGCATTTCTGCTTTCTGGACACTGATACTATCTGGCCTTCAATGTGATTGTGTATTCTGGACATTGTCATCTCGCTATTTCTCATTTCTGGTCATCAACGTGGGAGGGCCAGGACGTTTTCCCAAAAAGAAAAGAAGAAAAGAGAAGAAAAAAAGAAAAGATTGTGGGGCTGTATCTTTCCATGTTCTAGTGGAAGATTCACTCTCAGTTTTGCACATTTCGAGAGTAGTGGAGGGAGGGGGCCTTCATATTGATAGGGCCTCGCTCCACTACTCTCTAAATGTGCAAAAAGAGAGTGAATCTTCGGCTAGAACATGGAAAGATACAGCGAATACAAAGTGCCCTCTTTCCTTTAAAAAAAAAAAAAAAAAAGATACAGCGCCATGATTTTTGTCTTTTGTGCATGTCAAGAGTAGTGGAGCAAGGCCCTCTGTTTTTTTTTGTTTTTTTTTTAATATCTCTGCCCCGGGGCTGGGCCACGGCCCAGATGCCTCGGCCATCTCCAGATTAAGAAGCCACATCTGCTGTGGGGGGAGCAGAACCCAAGCTTCTAAATTTGGATCATGTCTCTATTTAGATGTGTGTCATCCTTGCACAGGGGGCCATGCTAATCAGGTTTGGACCCCACAGGAAAAACAACGGAAAAAAAAAAGCCTGGCCATAAAACACCGCCGAACAAAAGCGCACTACGGATGCGAGGGACTGGGAACGCCGTTGCCGAAGAAGACTGTGAGTTCTATCACTTGGGACCTTCAGGGCATGACTGCTGTCTGTGTACTGGAAGATGTTAAGAGTCTGCACTCAGAGTATCTGCCCTTCAGACTGAACACAGCAGCAAAGGACTTGATAGTAGACTCTCGTGATTGGTTCTGTATGAACCCGAAGAAGCCTGACCAATTGGTTCTCTAGACCCTCTTTTTCGTCATTCGGCACATTGTCAATTGGCTTATTCATTACTTACGCCTGCTGTTGACATAGAT